AATTAAATTGTGGCTCTGTATGTAAACAGTTTACAATTTCTGAAATGAGAGGCAGAGGAACCTGGTAGGTTACCGAGAGACCCACTATAAGACCCACTATAGAGGGGTGTCAGAGCACTTTCCTGGGGTGATGACCAGGGAAGATTTCTCCACAAGGATGATGATACAGAATGTTCCAGAATATTTATTCATGGCTATTCTACCAGTTCTTTGTGAAACCTCTTTTAGTTTTATCCTGCTATATTTGTTGTTGTGTGTATGTGTTTTGATTTTGTAACTTGAAATGTCATTTAAATTTGCACCATTATATAACACATATATAGAAGAGCTTATTTGGAAATACTGGAACTAACAGCCTGAGATATTGTTATTGCCCTATATGTATCTTCCTCCCCCAAATGATAGCAAACTTTTGGAGGAATTAGATGGTGCCTTATACTCCTGTACTCTAGTGGCTAACAGCACTAATGAGGTAGAAACCTGAACACAAGAATGAAGGACACATTTGAAATCTTGGACCATAATATAGTCTGTGGGGGAAAAAAAAGATTGAAAGCTGAAAGTCCTAGTGTACCTTGAGGAATGTTTTATTGGTCTACATAATATTGCATGGTCATATCTATGGAATAGTGCTTTGGAAGTTGATCAAGCTTGCTATATGATGACCCTTATTCTGTGACTTTTTCATACATAAAGCTGGCATGATAGCTGGCTCATGACATCATTCACTCTCAAACCAAACCATTGGGATGAATGTTACCTTATAAAAGCAATTTTTGAATATAAAATAACAGTTTCTTTAAGCTAAGTTGGATGTTTAGTGAAGTGACCCTATTTCCTTCTTAATAATGAATAAATAGATTCCTGTATGTTCAAAAATCTCCTAATGCACTCCTCTCTTAAGCAAAATGAATTGGTCTTAGTTAACACACTCACATGCCTTTGAACAGTAAGAGATATGAATCTGTGTTTCTAATCATGGGATTGAATAGCAGCAGACACATCCGCCTACCAGACTGATGAAAGAGAATGGACAGGATAGTGCAATGTAGAATCGGACAGCAATATTTTTTGAGGTTTCTAGATTTGAGCTCTTAAAAAATAATTCTGTCAAAAAAATTTCAGGAAATGTAAGAGACACCAGTAAATAGACATATGATGCTATTCCACTGTTTATGGGTAATTGAATAAGGTAGTAATAATTTATTGTGTACAGCAGCAGCTATGCTTCAAGAAATTACAATCCATGTTTCTTGTTAACCTAATTTGCAGAAAATGCTTCCCACCACTCAAATCTCTAAGGAATGACATCCAGGTCCTTATTCTGATACAAAGTTCTAATGTGTAGATTCTTAGCTGTTGATCACCAGATAACCTGTTATGTGTTCCTGTGGATCATGGCACCAAATCATGATGTTACTATCAGGAATGGAACTGTTGATTATCAAATAACCTCATCTTCTTTGTTTATGTGTTTATTGGTGATTTTATGGTGCTGGGGGTAAAACCCATAGTTTCATACATGCTAAGCAAGCACCCTACTGCTGAGTCACATCCACAGTTCAGTAACCTTGCTTTCCAATGAAAATATTTCAATGATGGGCCCAAAATTACTGCCAAGGATTAGAAAGCAGATTCCAACTCAGATAGGCTTATTTCTCAAAATAAGCCTTTTGAGAAATAACCAAAATAACCAAAATAATACTTTTCTCTATTATTGGTTGAGGAAACAGGGCTTTAGAGAGAATAATTTGACCATTGTTGGTTAACCTGGAAGCATTGAGCTAGCATACACAGAAAGATTTTCTGGCTCTAGAACCCAACTGTATCTATTTATTTCCATTGTCCATTGAACAAATCAATTCCCTTGAACTTTTAACTTCATGGATCCAGTTTTAGTTAAAGGTAAATAAGATGTAAATCCATATATGGTCCCACTTGGGAATGAATCCTCCCTCCTCCTCAGCCTACCAGACTGTTGCAAATGAATCCAGCTCATTTGGAAATCCCTCAGAGCTAAGCTTCTCTAGCTAAAGCTATCCTTTCCCATCCTAAGCCTGGCATCAGCAACATCAGTCAGCAAAGCTGACTTTTGCCATGGTGACATGGGTATACCTGGCTTCCCAATTTTTAGCCAGGTTGCAGGTATTAGTGTGAATAGCTATAAGATAGCTGAAAAAAAAAATAGAAAGTGAGATAAAACAGGATTGATAACCTCTTTATTTTCAATTTTATTCTTTTTCCAGAAGCAAAAGTATTCAGAGAACATAGGGTAGCTTTGAAAAGAAAGCCACTATGATGTTCTAGGTTTGAAACAATCTCCTTTCCTCTTCTCCTGCGTCCTGTGCTTGCAAGTAGGGCTTGAGATGTGTATTAGGTGAATTGTGGGATATGCTTTGAAGTTCTAAATTTTCTCCTGTTTTTCTCCCACATATTTCATGTACTTAAAAGTGCTTGTTAGTGATTGAAATATTAAAGGCAAAATTCACCCTTGCAAGCCAAAAGATGGAGTTATCAATGTTATAAGTGGCCTTAAGACAAAACTTGACTTCCAATATAACTTCCTTTTACTTCTTGCCAAAGATAAAATATGATTCTGGCAAAATCAGTTGATGGTTACATTTATCAATTAGATGAATGGATGTAAGAGTATGAATACTTACACTTAGATATGTATGAATATGAATACTTATCCGTAGAAGAGAATATAAATACATGCAATTTAATGATGTTTACATTTGTATATCAGCTTGGATACATGGAGAATAGGGGATGGATGGATAGATAGATAGATAGATAGAAAAAAAGAAATAATAGTATCTAACTACTTTCCTTATTTTTATTCTTTACCTATCTACCAGGGCAGCTTTGAAATAAAAACTTGTAAATGGGCTTGAGGTTTCAAGCAATCATCTCTCCTATTGTCCCTTACAATATGTTTGAATTTTGGGGTTGTGGTAGATGTGCTAATGAAGAAATAACATGTTTAAAATATCCTGGAACAAAGCAGTAACACATCTTCTGTTATTATAGACTAGACATGGTTTTCCTTTTATTCTTCTTGTAAGTATAATGGCTATTTGAAAACTGTGCATCTTTATTCCTCTCTTTATGTCATTTTAGTATTCAGTGATAAGTTTTCTTTGCTTATTTTATCAATATTTGCCTAAATGGTTGCCAAATTTTTTGAAGTTTTAGATTAATTACTTTTGTTATAATATTATCTTTACAAATAAGAATCATGTCCTATTATTATTTTTTAAAGTGAAAATCTGATAACATTGACTGTTTTTGCATTTTAGAGAAAAATGCAATCCTGGCTCAGAGAAACATTGGGGAAATGTGGGTTATCAAACAGACTTAAGATGTGTCAGACTGTTTGAGCATGATTTAATTATATGGTCCAGGAAGCATTTCTTTTGTAGAGTTGGAAAATGCTTTGGAAATAATTAAAACTGAATCTTTTCTTTCTACTTTTAATATGTTGAAAGTGAGGAATAGGGAGATGAAATAACTTGTTGCAAGTCATGTACAGAATTGATGATAGAGGAAGAAGTAATCTAAGGTTCCTAGGTAGTCTCTTCTGCATTTTTTTCCTGTTAAATTGTGCCTATAGTCCTCACCCTGCTTCTGAGTAGTGAGGACTAATAAGTAGTGATACTTTGAGCATGTTTGCCAGTCATTAGTGTCTGGTAGATATGCCTTGAGTTATTTCCTTACTTTAAGGACCTTAGTTTACCCATTTTTAGAACTAAAAGGGTGGAAAAGGAAAAAAAACCACTTGATTTCTATGTTAGATTTCTTTTCAGCTCTGAGAATCTATGAAGAGTAATGATGCAATTATGTGGGCAAGATTCTCATATGACAAAAGTCTTCCGATTTCCTCTTTTGCTTTGTGAGGATGTTCAGAATTAAATTGCATGTCCAAGTGCAGTAAATATTTGCCCAGGTTACTGTAACAGACTGTTACAGACTGAATGCCTCCAGACAGTGCCTTATAACTGCAATTTTTTTTTTTCATATTAACAACCCTGAGGCCTGTGTTGCAGGTGTTACTGTCCTGATTTTGTTGTAATTGCTGTCATCTTAACTGACTATAACCTTGAGCTWCGTGATGGTAAAGTGACTGATCCAAGTTCTTTGTTGGCAGAAATAGGTTTCAAATGCAGATCTCTAAACATCTAAAACCCAAATTCCTCTCTCTTCTCCTTGGCTTCCATGTTTTCCTGTCTTATTATTTCTCTTTGATTTAGAGATCTCCATCTCTGTGTATTTTTTATTGTAAAACTTTTAAATTATTTTTGTCCAATAGAGGTAACATGGAGAATGAATAATTAAAAACTGCAATTAAGCACCTGCACACGCAGCATTGATCACATCGTTTCAGCCTTCTTAATGATGTTGTACTTTACAGATGCTTGTTATGTATATGTCTTATTTTTAAACAAGATACTGACAGTTCTTTTGAGGAAATGATCTATGTTGTCATCTCATAAAGGATATAATGCAACAACTATTTGCAGCATTTACATTGAATTAGGTATTATAAAAATATAGAAATGATTTAAAGTCTATGGGTGGATGTTAGTGGGTAATATATCAATACTACACTTTTTTAATAAAAGGGTCTTGAGCACATACAGATTTTGGTATGGTATTCTTGAGGATATCATGCAACCAAGTCCCCACTGATGTGGCAATAAGACTCTATTATTAATTTTAAATGACATAATGTACATTTAAGGCTTTGTATAAAGCCTGTGAATGAGAACTTCAAAAATTTAGTTATTTAGATAATTTGCTCTGACACTAAGCCTGAGGAACAAAAACTCTCTGGTGACAGTCTACATAAGAAAAGCATTCAGGTAGCGTTTACTTGTTGCACTTTGCATGGGATGGTGATAAAGAGTTACACATTTAGTGACTCATTTATACTCTTTGCTTGCTCTTCTTTTGACCTTCCTTGTAATGTCTCTTGCTTTGGGTTATTGTCTGAGCAGAAGACAAGATCTGGATGTCAGTACAGCACAACAACACAGAGCTGACCCATGTGAGGGGTGCCAACCCAGAGAAGCCCTATGCCATGGCCTTGGACTACGGTGGCAGCATGGAGCAGCTAGAGGCTCTGATTGATGGCTCCGAGCACTGTGAGCAGGAAGTGGCCTACCATTGCAGGAGATCCCGCTTGCTCAACACGCCTGGTAAGTCTCACCCTGACCTTGTGCTTCTTCATAGGCCAAAGTGGGAGGTGGCCTCAGTAGAACAGATGAGTCTCCCAAACCCAGAATATTAACAACAAAAAAAAATGGGTGTTTATCAAGGGGCTTTATAGTTGCAGTTGTTCACTCTACAGAGAGAGTTGCAGCCAGGAAAGGACTGATTGTCTACAAGCATTGGATTTGATATACAAGGTATGATCTGGTTGAGTTCTATAGCTTCACCCTCATCTCCAAAAAGAAAATGTGGACAACATCCATCCTGCAACAGTGGTGAGAATACAGAGCTTCTTGAGAGAAGAGGCACTGAAAGAGACCATTTGCACTAGCTTTCTTGGTGATGGTGGTAAGAGATGCTCTTTCTGAGAGAGGGCATAGAATGTGATAGGGGCATCAAGAATCTCAGCACATTTATCCAAGAGTGATGAGCTATTCCTGGTGAAAAGATGCACACAAGAGAGCATTGTTAGGCAAGGATGCCAGCAACATCGGCAGAGAGCCATGCTCTGTGTTCACAATAATTATTTTACCTGAAGAGTGCAGACCTTAACAGAAATGACTCCTTTAAAAATAATTTCATTTTAGCAAAAAATGGACCTATTCTTCTTACTTCTTCTTTTGTCTGTGGTTGATTTTTTTTTCTTTTAGAATGAATGATTTACTTAGTAACATGTTTTAAAAAGTAAAGATAAAAGAGAAAAAGTCTAGGACTATTTACCCAAACCAGCTTCTTGGAAAATGTCAAGAGGAGTCTGTCATCAGTTTGTGCTTGCCATGAGAAAAAAAATAACACCTATTGGGGGGAATGTCAGTCCATCATGTGTTTCAAGGCAGCAAAAGCCCACAAGGTTATCAAGAACCCAAAAGAGGRGTATCATAGTTCCTAGTCTCAGAAGCTTAGAATTTGGTGATTAGAGGTTAGGAATTTCAAAAGGGTGGAGGAAAAAAAAAAGCACAGTGAAATGTCAACAAAGGGGAAGAAAGAGAAGCCTAACTAAAACAAAGTACTGCCTGGCTGATCTAGAATCTTCAGGGAAGACGCTGTTCCACCTAAGTGAATTTTCCAGATAACTGTCACGTATCCTTTTAAGCACCAAAAATCTTTTCAAAGAATTTTTAACTGTTTGAAATGAAAATCTTTTTTCAAATGGATTACACACTCCCTTGCCTTCTTAAATGGAGAATTCTGAACATAAAATGTAACCTTTTCCTGATGACTCAAGATCATCATTGTGAAAATCAATTATTGTACTCTCCTTGGATGCAGTCATACTTTCAGAGCTGATTAGATTGTAGGCACCTATTGGTGCCCCTTTTAAGGATCCTCAGACATAGTACCCTGTGGGATTCAATGTTTATTCATATCTCTCACCCTTGGATGTCAAGGCTGCACCTGCCAATGTCAGCATTTTGTCAAAACATTTATCTCCAGAAACTACTCTACCTACTTTTGACTGTGTAGTCTCTAGTTATCTAAGAATTGGGTTTTGTAGAATTACAGGGAAGATGAGAGCATGCTCATTCTAACTTTGGAAGGTCCTTTAAAATACTCATTCTGTGATATCCAGTTGGTTATACCACCCTGTGTGTGTGTGTGTGTGTGTGTGTGTGTGTTTCCAAAGTTCATATTCTCTGAATATGAAAAGTATGAATTTGGAAGAAGCCTTACTGGGAGTGAGGACTTGATTCTGTCCTTATCAGTCCTTGTATAAATTGCTCATTTCTGACAGTTCACTTTTACCACCTAAAAATTTTACATTTCACCTGAGCCTGGTGAAAGAGCTGAAGGAAAGATCTAGTCCACCCTCCTTGTTCTAGGCCTGGTTTGTGTTAGGTGTCCAGCAAAAACTAAGGTCCACATCATTCACATCTTCCATCCCAGCAGGGAAGGTCCAAAATCTGGGTCATAATGGGAAACACTCTCAAAGGAGAATTTTATTTATATTCAAATTGTGAAAATAGAAAAAAAAACATGTAATAATTATATGGTGACTGACTTGATTAGGAAACTCATACGTGCAGATAATCTCAACTCATGAAGATGACTTCTGTACCATTCTGGCCTGCATCCTTCCAAACAATTTTCCATGTGTGTATTCACAGAAATATAGCAGAATAAAGTATTAGAGCTTGATGCTTTTCATTAGGTCTCTTTTTACCCATGGATTTTGAATCAAAGGAGGGAAATAAAGGAGGACCCTAGGCACAGATGCAGTATTTCCTTTGTCCTGGAGGGTTGGCTTGAAGATTGCAATATGGGCACTTATGTCCCTCAGCTTCCAACTCCAGACAGGCACTGCTAGTGGGAGGGCAGTAGAGCACTCATGCAGACAGCATCATAGGGAAGTGGCCCTTGCCTCACCCTCCCACTACTGGGAAAGAAAACACTGGGGCACATTTACAGAGGAGCTTACCTTGTGAAATAGGTAGAGACAAGGAGAACAGTGTGCAGCCACATGGATCCTAGAGCCWGGGCCCAAGGCACACAGATGCAGGAACTTTCCCCTGGGATCTCTCAGCGGTAAGCATTCCCATCCCCAGAGAAAAAGCCAAGACCAGGAGATAAGAAGGATGGAGACATCTCTCCCTCCTCTGCTTGCAAATCTGGAAGCATTAGGCAGGTTTCTGCTTTATCCGTTAATTCAGGACACATTCAGCAGAGATTCCCAACCGTGGGGTGCTATTTTACAGCCTGTATTTGTCACACAAACTCACACTTTTTCATATCAACAAATAAGATTTCAGACCATGATTTTTATTAAGGGAAGAATATTCCCTTATATGGATATACTCCAATTAACAAATCCCCTATTTGGACATGTGCTTTACTTTCATATTTTAAAATTAATACCAATAACACTACAAGAAAATTTGCATGTAGATCTTTATGAACATAACTGATTATCTACTCAAAATTTATTCCTTAAGCTACCATTGCCAGAGCAGAAAGAGTGTGCATTTTTAAGGCTTTTGCCACAGTGACTTCTGTAGCACATCAGGGTTGTGCCAATTTATACTCACAACAACACTGTAAGATGAGGAGCCCATTTCCCAGAAATAGTTATTATCATTTTACTTCAACTATGTCTATCTGATAAATGTAAAGGAGCATCAAAGACAATTTTACATTTTTTTGTTGTTCTTAATTTTTTTAAAAAATAAAAATGTTAATTTTAGGAGATTTTCCATAGCTTTTTGGCTGCTACTACTAGTAGCCAGGATTAGTAGAAGCTATAAAATATTCTAAGTTGTGGTTGCAGGTGGATTTAAATCAATAAGAGGATGTGGAGGATGACTTCTTGCCATAGATTCCTTTCCATGGTATACATAATAGATAATTAAATGGAGGAAATAAAGAAAGCAAGATGGGAGAAAGGTAAGAGAATATTCAAATGGCCATCAATGACAGAGGTTTCTTCTGCCTCGGTTCTGTGTGGGGTACTGTATAATCTTTATCTTTAACCCAAACAGACCTGCACAGTGTAATTCTCCCCGTCTGATATTTCAGAAAATAAAACCCAGGAGGATTTTATTATCTCCTTCTTATCTTCTGGAAAGAAAATGCTTGCTCAATGCCACATAGCTGGGAGGGGACAAGTCTCATTCTGGCACCTATTACTATGCTGTAAGTCAAACTATGATGCTACTTCTTGCACTCTGCAAAGCTCCAAAAAGCCAAAAGTTATAAGGAAATGAGGAATGCATAGGAATTGAGAATTTGCATGAATTTCCTAATTGTGTAGAAAAATAAGGGTGAAGAGATAGAAGAATTGTCAAAGCAGTCTCCAGCAAAGCTATTTAGTTGAGTGTGTGGCCTGAAATTGGGCAATTTTTTATTTTTTATTTTTTTGCAGCATCAAAGGGTTTGCACTAAGCTAGCCAAGATGCAGCAGCTTCTACGTTCACATCCCCTTCAGAGGAGCCCTGTGAATCCTACAAACACATCCTCAGAGTCTGCTGTCTTTTAATTCCAGTTGTTGTTCCGGTTTTCTTCATCTAGCAGCAGGCAGGTAGAGAGGGAAGACAAGCGAGATAAGGTCATGCATGGTTCACCACTGTGTCTTTTTCATTCAGTGTGTGACTGAACCATGACACTGTCATTTTCTGACAGATTCTTCTGATATTCTTCCCCAGAGCTACTGATAAGTACCAACCAATTGGAATGTGTCATGTGTCTCTTTAACTGGAAGTGTATTCTGAAAACTCTGAAAAGGAATAGAATTCCAAGATGTTGATTGAAAATTTTGTTACTTGAGGGAATCCTTATGTTATTCCCCTTTAACTTTGTTTTTCTTCACTGTGATTGCTACTTCCTACCCTGCCCTTTATGTAGGCCCTGAAACTCTGCTACAGAGCAACTTCCAAATCCAGGCCAGGAATCACTAGCCTATAAATGCTTGGCAGCTCCTTGTCACCTCAGGAGGAAGTGGCCACTTGTCCCCAGGGAGGGAGCCTTGGCCTTTCCTCAAGTATCAGTACCTATGTAGGAATTTTCCTGAGGTCAATCTCCTGAAAGCAGCATATGATAAGGATATGAAATGAAATAGAACCCACTTGGAAAAGATTTGCACAGAGAACAAAAAAATTAATACTGAGGCCACAGTCAATTAGCGTTATAGTCTATCACTTCCCCCTAAATGGATGACAAAATTGAGAAGGACAATAGGAGGTGCTCTCATGGGGAAGCTTTGTACCAATATCCCTGGAGGGAATGAGCATAGAAAGTCCTGCCTAGCTTCAAATTCTCTTCCAATACTTGCTACGTGTTTTAGTCAGCTTTTTGCTCCTGTGACTAAAGGACCCAACCAGCACAATTGTAGAGGAGAAAAAGCTTATTTGAGGGCTCATAGTTTCAGTGATCTTAGTCCATAGAAGGTTGGCTCCACTTCCTGGGGCTCAAGATGAGGCTGAAAATCATGATGGAGAGTGTGGTAGAGGGAAGCAGCTCATCTCATGGTGATTAAGAAGCAAAGAGATTCAAGGAC